CAATAGACCAGAAGGAATTGGTTGAGAAATGCAAAGAGAAGAGAAGTGTGGCTTGAAAGCAGGGGACCTATGATCCAAGGGTCGTAACCTTGCAGTTGAACGCAGCTATGTACTTGTTAATTCTCCTCACAAATATACAGAAGTTTAGAATGGATTTTCAAAATTTTTCACAGGGAATTCGCATACTGTCTGAAACTCCAACACCACATTGAGCATTCGAGCTCTGCGTCAAGGTCAAGCGTGGTAGATTTGAGTTCCTAAACTCAAAAGCCTCAGGGCCTAGGCATTAGGCGATAGAAACACTAGAATTTGTGGTACTGGAGAGCACATATTCCAGCTCAAGGCATTCAAACTCAAAGTTTTTCAAAATACTTTACTAGCCTAAGAAAACATGGCTGCCAGTTTTCAATCTCTTGAACAGAGCTTCTGTTGTCTGAAGAAATATGATTAGGACAAATGTATGCCCCTCTCTTTGGACTCCTGCAGTGCCCTGGGACCGCTCCTTGCTCAGTTTCCCTTTCTCCACTTCTTCGTTCTTCCTAGATAATGCATCATGCTCCTAAATGACCACCTTCCCTCTCTTCCTGTTAGCGCATAACCTCTTAGAGCAATGACAGAAACTAAATATTAAAGCTAAATGTGACCTAATTAAGTGAAGACCCATGAAATTGGGAATGAGCCATCACCCATGATTTTCCCAGGTTTTACATTAGTGTGCCTCCAAAATCAACTCCTCTGACTCCCTGGGGGAAAGTTCCACAAGGAAATATTTCTGATGGTGGTACTAAGCAACCTGCTAATTTGGCTTTGATAAGTTCAGCCCTGGATGTTTTTACAAAACTGGATGTCTTTATAGTTCTTATTTTACAAAAACAATTATACAAAAAAAACCCTACAACCAGAGAATCTATTATAATTGGTTGACCTCAGGCAAAAATGCCTTAGAACAAACTTGTGAAAGCTGTTCGGTTGGATATTTCATCACTAAAAGAAGTGCTTTGGCCATCACATATAGAAAGAGCTAAGTCAAGAACTGAAGCACAGTTAATTGTCCTGGAGATGCAACAACTCTCCCCTAGCCCTCCAAGACATCTCTCACTTACTGCGGGTTATATAATGAGTTCAAGTAAGTCCAAACATGTTGTTTTTATATAATAAGTTATTCATGGAAAAGTAAGCAAGTACAGAACGACAGGAGACGTTCAGATCACTGGGTGCCATTGAAATAAATATCCGTCAGTCATTGGCAATGGCTTTTAAAAGCAGGCTGCATTTTACATCTCATGGTGTAATAAAGATCACATCACAGCCAACGTATTATCAAAGTTCAAAAACAAATAAATGTACAGCACACTTGCCAAGGCCTTTTCTCAGGTTTTATCATTGCTGACAATGGAGCCAGTGTTGTAAGAACCATGTTAGTTGGCCAATTCACACATGTCATGCTTTGTTTTCTGCCTGAACCTGCTCCTGCATGACTTGAGGACAAATACTATTTATTTTTGTTGTTATTATTAAGTACAATTTGGCAGAAATGCAGAAATTCTGCAATCATTTAGTCAGTCTCTGAAATTCTTGTGAAATTCTTCCAGGATAGGCAAGAAAAAATAACATTTCTGTGCAAAGATTAGAACACCTAGGTGACACATAATTGACCTTGACAGTTTCTATTGTGGGGAAAATTATTGGGGATAATCAGGAGACATAAAGTCTTGCCTAGACACAGGTATGTTGAGCAAACAAAGGAGGACGAGATGCTGGAGGTCAGGAACCACCTCTGGGAGATCTAACTTCCTCAGCACAGATGGTTTGAGCAGTCATTATGGCCAAGGCTCTCAGCTTGGTTCTGCAAGGACACACAAAGATGGACCAAGGGCCTTTCCTGAGTGGTTTACAGAGATAGATAAGTCAAATTTAGACAGTGGAAATGGAGAGGTATCCAATTCACCTAGAGTCTGGTCTATTCTCGACTCTAACTGGTGAGCTTAAAGAAATCTCTTTACTTCGTGCCTCTGTTCCTCACCTTTAGTGTCTTTACAACCAAATTGGCAGTAATCTCTAAATCAAGTTGAATAGTGTGTTGAGTTTTCCCACTGTGAGAGGATCTGGCTCAGCTGGGTCCAGAATTCCATTGCCAGTCTTCCAAGTGATCCGGTTTTCTCTTAATCTGCCACAAATATTCAATATCTACTTGGAGTTTCCAGGTGTCTAATGATGAAACCTAGGTTGTGGCAGCTTTATTTAAGCACATCCCATTTAGAGGATAAAACTCTTTTTCAAATACATTCAGTTTTTATAACCTCTCCAAATATTAAAGTAAGGACATCTCTGTGGCAAAATCTTAATACCTCATAGCTAATTTGCTGTCTACAATGTATTGCTATTATCCCATATATATACAATATACAACTACTGCTATATTGTGAAACTCAAGGTCTGAAATAACCACACAGTCAACTGGACAGATGCTGTCCCAAGTGCCTGACATGGGTGAAGGTGCGGTTCCAAGCTTCTGCTCTGCTCCCTGCTCTGGGCCGTTTGGTGCAGGGACGCATGACAGGAGCAGCAAATGGGATCCAGGACTGTATTTGAAATGTGGTTAGCAGCTCCACGCCCTACTTTCCAGCGGTGCAGCTGGAGGGCACACAATCGGTATACATTTCTAACACCACTGACTGAAAAGGAGGGCCAACAGTCAATTTTATTCCAGAATCTAGGAGAAATTCCCAATAACCAAAAGAGAGATGGTGCCAAAGCACCTAGTTGTCAGAAACCAGGAGAATCTGGCTGCCGGAACATAGCCAGTCAGCCCCCTGGTTCAGAAATATAAGAGAGGCACCAAGATGGCCCCTCTGCTGGGGCTGTAAATCTGCGGTGGGGGAAGGGGGAGGCGTCCAAGTGTACTCGAATTCTCCCACTTGCACCCGTACTTTTCCTTCTATATCCATTCAAGGTTTCATCTTGCAGAAACCAACTGAGGGCAGAGGAAGCAGATTCACGGTGAAGCGTCGCATTTGGGGAAGTATAGTCTCTGAAGTAAAATAATACGAACAAAAATAGAGACAGGAAGAGCCTTGAGAGCTCTGCATTCTACCTTGGCCTTTACAGAAGAATTTTGGCAACCTCTGCCGTAGATTATAATTGGCTGAGATGTGAAAGAGCATCTCTATAGAATGGGCTAATGGAGAGGGGGTTGGGAAAACAAAAAGCAGGACAGGGGCAGATAGGAGATTTAGGGCTCCAATGACAGCAAAAACCAATGTCATCTGCTGTGTAATTCTGCCTTGAATCAATAAACCCAATTTGCAAACACAGATCATAGGACCTGTTTATAGTCCTGTGCCTTTATCTGATTCACCTTCGCTGTTCTAGTCTCCAAAGGCTGAAGTCATTTTTTTCTCAAGTTGGTGGCCTAGGCAAGAGTCTCTATGCAAATGCTGTATGGAATGGATGCTCAGAAAGGTCCTTTCCTACTTCTCTCTCTCTTTCAGGTTATGCTTAACCCAGAGAAAGGTCTGTGTGACGAATCATCACAAATCGTACAGGGGAAAAATATTATTTGTATGTTTGTTTTCCTCCTCAGTTGAAGAAAAGGTCACTAAAAATTCTTTTTCAACATGAGTGAGATTGTTTCAAATAATCAGGCCATGTTAGAAAAATGATTTAGAGACAAATAAAATATTTAAGCCATAAGGTTGGAATGTAAAACAATATCACCAAGATAAAAGAAAATGCCTATTTATATAGAAAACAGACTTGATACTTTCAACGAGGAAAAGACAATAGCATTCAAGAGGATTTCATTATGTCTCCAAAGGCAATGTACCCAAAAAGTGTGTGTTTTTATGCTTTCATGTACTCTGCTCAACATCCAAGCATGAGGTTCCCAAAGGTCACGTGTGATCTGATTAAGTGGAAGCAAAGAAAGGAAAAAGGTCATCTACAGAGTTCACGGGAAGTTTCCGATGCTGAATGGGCCACTGAACAGAGAGGGCTTGTTAAAAGGGTGGTCCCATCTGGATCCTTTCTAGGTGCTTAATTTGGAGTCTCAAAATCTATTAGCCTCATTAAAATCACCACATGCTCAGGAATCTCTGAAGCAAGAATCACTGATGCAAACTAGCACAAGGGTCTAGAAATTATCATTATCAGTGGAGTAATAATGTGGCTGCTTTGGGCATTGGTACTAGTACTCCACGCTCAGAAATCATTTTGGTTAGTTGAGTTCACAGCCAGCCCAAGCATTTCTAGCCACCATGTAAGGGCACATCAGAGGTAAAAGATGGCAAGGATAACAGTGATTGTCAAACTTTATTTTTTTTCAAATAAAATATTATAAAGAACAGAATGCATTTATTTATTCATTCTTTCTAACAAATATTTACTGAGCATTTAGTCTACATGGGAAATAGGATGGTGCATCAGAAGAGCTCCTGTCTTTTGGAAATTCGTATACAAACAGATAACAAGTGAGTTACTGTGAAATAAAGAAAGGTGGGAGATCTCCATGGTAGACCTTGAAGTATATGTACATTTGGGCTTCATGTCACACTCTAGAAATCACTGGACTGGAGCATGAGTGCTAGACCACTGCGTTAAAAAAACACAAAACCTTAAAGTGATCACTGTACTAATGTTGAGAGAGAAGCGTCATGAGCATATGACAATGGGAACATGTTCTTAATATTTACTTTGTAATTACATATATGCATTGCTCCCAAAAATACAGACTTTAAGATTAATAGCAGATTTAGAAAAAATAATGAGCTTAGGGAAGCCAATGAGTTAGCAAATGGTGCAGGGCATTTTGGAAGTTTCCAAATACCACATGGATGGTATTTCCTTTACAGTTCACTCTGGCTTAGGCTTAAAAGCCTACTGTGTTTTAAAAATGCTCAAGACAGTCAGTGAAGGTGTTGGATTGAATTCCAATTCTAACATTCCATTGCTTTGTGAGCTCCTAACATTCCACTGCTCTTGTGATCTATATTCCTGGTTTCCACTACCCAAGTAGGCAAGACAGATTTTTATTTGCATTCATCGAGACAATGCGTGTGCTTTAAAATTTCCATACCTCTACCACTGCTTGTGAACTGTGAAGTGTCTGGAAGCTCAAGCGGTACCTGAATCTATACAAGAGCCGTGCTTTTAGTTGGAAATGAAGAAAAACTTCCAACAAGATCAGAGGGCAGATTGGGTGATTTTGAAACTTAACAGATCTTCTTATTACAAACTACTGGAGAAAGAGAAGGGCCTAGGAAAGTGGAGAAATGGGGGCAGGGCGGAAATTAGGCAAGGAGGAGGAGGTGGAAATCAAATCCATTTAAATTTCACGAGATCAGAATATATAAAGTGAACCTAGTCACCACTGGCGTTGCTCAAATTCCATTCTGAGACTTAGTCATTAATATTTAGCATTTTTTGTGATTATTTTATAGACATGATGTCATTGTTTCACTGTGTTTTACTAATCACCAATGACACACTTGCCAGGGAGCAAAGTTATAATGTAGTGATGTTATGAGTGGAATATGTTGCAATTGTGCTGTGGGGCGGGAGGGAAGTTCAGATTAAGTTCAAGGCGTTTGGCTTGGATATTTTGGGTGAACCAAATCTAGACTTCTCAGGGGGTTCTATGTCTTAGAACCACATTTAAAAACTCACCATTTTATTGTTTAAAAAGTACCCATAAAATTTAAAGCTTCTGAAATGGGAATCTTGGGGAAAGTGAATAAAATCCCAGACCTTCCAACAAAAACAACCTTCTTCTTTTTGACAACTCCAGGTTTAGACATTCCTTAGGTTTATTACCACAAAGCAGACCAAGCTGGCAAGAGAACCAGCAGGCCCCTTGTCCCTCTGTGCAGTGTCCTAGCCACAGCTGCTCCAACAGACACACCTCCCCGGTGATGGATGTGCTCTCTGCCAGGGAAGACCCAGGTGGATGCACATGTTTCTCCATGAGGAGGTGACATGCATTTGTGATCTGAGGCTCAAAGTGGAGCTGCCAGGGTGGGTGTGATGAATGGAGACAGACTCTGTGAACATTCTTGGCTCGGCCGCGAGTAAGAGACCTGGGGTGTGTAAACCCGAGGACCTTGGAATGGATTTTTGCTTAATTGTTGCTGTTCTTTCCCCTTCCTTCACCCAAAACCTCAGTTCTGCTTTCAACTTATCATCTACTCACCCTATTTCATCTTCGGCCTTGGCTGATCTAATGATGAGCTTGATCAAAGACAGATGTTTACTCCTTTCTGGTAGGAAGGCAATTCAAACTTGGTCCTCTGCAAATTTCCAAGGAGACTTCTTTAAGTTAAATGTGAAACAGTGGGGAAACTAACAGAAGATTATAGACCCTGAAGAAAAATAGACCCCTTGAATTGTTACACGGAGAGAACCACAAGCTCAACTAGCAGCTCTGTCTGCTTCTTCCGATTTCCCTCAGTAGTGACAAAGGGATGGTGAGAGTATTCACTTACACTGGAAGTTTTGGGAATTCTCCTGCAGAAGAGGGCAGAACAACCATAGAGTGTTACTGGGTGATGGGGTAAGGGACTGAGAAATAGGTTGCTCCGATTAGGTGAATACTAGTAATTGCTACACACTTGAGTAGTAATTATTCACAGAAATTCTCTGAAATAAGACAAACTCTGACTACAGAGAGAGTTATGCTGCAAAAAATCCTCCTTCCAGATGTGTGTAATTGTGATAGCAAATACTGGTGTTATGTTTGGTGTGATGTGTGCTTAGAAATGGAATTATTTAAAAACCCTATACCACCAACTAAAGCCACTGTGAAGAGTTATAAAAATACACAGCGAAAAGTCTCTGATAACTAACTAAGCAGAAGAGATAGGAACAATGCTATTTATTCCTCGAATTTCACACAGCTAACAAGAAAAAATGCTTTAGATAAATTAGACATTTCTAAAACAACTGTGACTAAAAGAAGTCAAGATGTGATTCTGAAAAGCAATGAGGCAATTGGAAAATACTAGTTAAAGGACAATGTATAGTAAAGATGTTGTTTCTAATAAAAAATATAAATCCCACATTTCAAAAGAATTTCTTAAATGGAAAAATAATTTAAATTATGGTCATGCACCACATGATGATATTTTGGTCAACAATGGACCACATACATGATGGTGACCCAGTAGGATTAGTACCATAGAGCCTAGGTGTGTGGTAGGCTGTACCATCCAGGTTGGTGTGAGCCACTCTATGATGTTTGCACAACGATGGCATCGCCCAAGGACACATTTCTCAGAACATATCCTCGTTGTTAAGCGACACATGACAGTAATGCGTTACTTCAGAATACATATTATTTTATAATTTAAAACAGAAGTAGAATGGTCATAGAACTTGTTAAAAAGTAACATTATTTCACTACCGTGTTTGATGTAAGAGCTTCATCTTGCCACTCTTCCATGGACGTTTTTATAGAATTGGCTTTTATCTTTCCTTGTCTCTGGTAGCTTCTTACAAAATGGCTTGTGAATTTAATTACGGAGTAGAGGTTTTCTTAATTTTTAATCCACTGCAATTGTCTCTGGAGAGTCCTAGGGTAAGGCAAGTCAGGCATTCACTGGTATCACAAAATTTAAGTGGTACCAATAAACTCAGTAATCCAGACATAATATTTTAGTGCAATGTTTTAAAAAATCAAAATTAATGCAAAAAATTTATAATGAACGAAATGTCCAGATTTTAAATAAGACAGGATTCATCCTTGTACTGACAGAATCGAGCTCACTCTCCTCATCTATTTCAGGCCCTGCTTGCTAAGAATATCCTTGCCTGTTGGTTGGCCGGGACATTACCAGTGCTGTCACCTGGGAACTTAAGTGTCATGTTTCTTCACCCTGCACAAACACCTATGAAAAGAGGAATTAGAAGGAAGGAGGGAAGAGACTTAAGAATATTAAAATATCTGTTTTAAAGAGAAAACAATTCACAAACATCCCTTTAATCACATTGTTTCCTACTCTCCCTTCCATACCCATCAATAAAGGTGTTAAATAAGCGGCAATTCAATGAAGACGACTGATCCAGGACATAAAAATTTCCATCAATCTAGACCCTGTATACTGCAGGAGGGGGAAGAGTTAAACAAAAAGGAGAGCTAAAGAAAAGGGAGCGCTTGCTCCTTAATGTCCTTCTCCACAGGCTTCATTCATTAGACAGTCTTGGTGCTGATGGACTCTGGGCGTCACACATACTGCTCTGAGAGAAATGAACTTGGTATTTCTGACATCATAATTTCCATTTCAAAACCAGAACATCCAGAAATGTTAATGTGAAGAGCTCAGCATATTCATAAGTGGTTAGGGAAAATTTCTTCTCTGATAATGTTATAAACACTGGAGAGTTTTTTTTTTTTTTTTTTTTTTTATTTTATTTTATTTTATTTTTTTTTTATTAATGTTATGATAGATTACAACCTTGTGAGATTTCAGTTGTACATTTTTGTTAGTCATGTTGTGGGTACACCACTTCCCCCTCCGTACCCTCCCCCCACCCCCCCTTTTCCCTGGTAACCACCGATCAGATCTCCTTATCAATATGCTAATTTCCACCTATGAGTGGAGTCATATAGAGTTCGTCTTTCTCTGACTGACTTATTTCGCTTAACATAATGCCCTCGAGGTCCATCCACATTGTTGTGAATGGGCCAATTTCGTCTTTTTTTATGGCTGAGTAGTATTCCATTGTGTATATATACCACATCTTCTTTATCCAATCATCAGTTTCTGGGCATGTAGGCTGGTTCCACGTCTTGGCTATTGTAAATAATGCTGCGATGAACATAGGGGTGCAACGGACTCTTGAGATATCTGATATCAGGTTCTTAGGATAGATACCCAGTAATGGGATGGCTGGTTCATAGGGTATTTCTATTTTAACTTTTTGAGAAATCTCCATACTGTTTTCCATAGTGGCTGTACCAGTTTGCATTCCCACCAACAGTGTACGAGGGTTCCTCTTTCTCCACAACCTCTTCCAACATTTGTCGTTCTTGGTTTTGGATGTTTTTGCCAATCTAACGGGGGTAAGGTGATATCTTAGTGTAGTTTTGATTTGCATTTCCCTGATGATTAGCGATGATGAACATCTTTTCATGTGTCTATTGGCCATATTCATATCTTCTTTTGAGAAATGTCTGTTCATGTCCTCTGCCCATTTTTTGATCGGGTTGTTTGTTTTTTTGTTGTTAAGCAGTGTGAGTTCTTTGTATATTATGGAGATTAACCCTTTGTCGGATAAGTGGCTTGTAAATATTTTTTCCCAATTAGTGAGTTGTTTTTTTGTTTCAATCCTGTTTTCCCTTGCCTTGAAGAAGCTCTTTAGTCTGATGAAGTCCCATTTGTTTATTCTTTCTATTGTTTCCCTCAACTGAGGAGTTACAGTGTCCGAAAAGATTCTTTTGAAACTGATGTCAAAGAGTGTACTGCCTATATTCTCTTCCAAAAGACTTATTGTCTCAGGCCTAATCTTTAGGTCTTTGATCCATTTTGAGTTTATTTTGGTGTGTGGTGAAAAAGAATGGTCAATTTTCAATCTTTTGCATGTGGCTGTCCAGTTTTCCCAGCACCATTTGTTGAAGAGACTTTCTTTTCTCCATTGTAGGCCCTCTGCTCCTTTGTCGAAGATTAGCTGTCCATAGATGTGTGGTTTTATCTCTGGGCTTTCAATTCTGTTCCATTGATCTGTGGACCTGTTTTTGTACCAGTACCATGCTGTTTTGATCACTGTAGCTTTGTAGTATGTTTTGAAATCGGGGATTGTGATTCCGCCGGCTTTGTTTTCTTGCTCAGGATGCTTTAGCAATTCGCGGTCTTTTGTTGCCCCATATGAATTTTAGGGATTGTTTGTTCAATTTCTGTGAAGAATGTTCTTGGGATTCTGATTGGGATAGCATTGAACCTGTATATTGCTTTAGGTAGTATGGACATTTTAACTATGTTTATTCTTCCAATCCATGTGCAAGGAATGTTTTTCCATCTCTTTATGTCATCGCCTATTTCTTTCAAGGAAAGTCTTGTAGTTTTTCATTGTATAGATCCTTCACTTCCCTTGGTTAAGTTTATCCCAAGGTATTTTATTCTTTTCGTT